AGCCATTTGATGAGGTTGTTTACTGATGTAAAAACCAACTGGATGTTCATCTTCTTTAAATATTGTTTAAATTTTTTTGTTTTTAATACACTATATTCCTCTACTAACAATATTTTTATTTCCTGCTGCCTTGCAACAGGTTCGATTTATTTGATAAAATAATTTGTAACATATGTACTTCACGTTAAAATCCTTACATAACGAATAAAATGATCAACTAGTATATAAACTGCTCAAAAATGAATAGGGATATTGCCAATTTGGTAGGATTTACTTTCCCTAGCATTTTTAGTTTATTTTTATTATAAATTGCATTAAAATTTATTAGAACATCATGTTTTTTACCAAAAGGAAAATTTAATTAAGAGATTTTGAAAAATACCAAAAAAGGTTGAAAAAATTATTTAATGACCATTAATTAATGATTATTTTGAGATTGTGAGATGCAGTCTTGCACAACACTTGCACCATGACACAGAACGATACAAAAAGATCGAAACGTTGGCACAATAAAGAAAATGTTTTTCTAAACCTACATCACACAAGATCGCATCTCATGCTCTCCAAATAATAATTAAAAATAAAAGGTTTTAATTCCATAATTTTGTTTATTGAGCATAATAATATGTTTTAACAATTAATACTTTGTATGATGCCCCCTGTTAGCTAAAACCTCTATGCACCTATTAGGCATATGGTTAACAAGGCTGTCACTAGTTTCATCAGGAATTTCACCCCGTTGATGTTGCAATGCTGCATTTAGTTGTTGTAGGTCAACTGGCTGTGGAGAGTGTTTGAACTCTGCAACGCATGCCACACATGCTCAATGGTATTGAGGTTTGGAGATAATGGTGAAGGGGCAGATGGGAAATTCTCAGGTTTTCTAAACATCGATGAACAACTCCGCCTCTATGAGATCTGGCATTGTCATCCTCAAATTGAAAATCCCTGCAATGAGATCCCTGGTTGAGGTATGTATCCCTCGGTAATTTCTCGGGCATAAAGGACTGCGGTGAGGTCGCCTTCAACAATATGAAGTCCTGTTCGTAATCCTGTATAAATCCCAGCCCAGGCCATTACACTGGCTCCTCCAAACTGCACTGAGGGTAGCACTGGGGCATTGTACATATCTCCTGTTCTTGGTATAGACTCTTCGGCACCTGCTGTCCCTATACAGATAGAAACACAACTCATCAGTAAACATAACAGCATTCCAATTGGTGTTCTCTTCTAGATGCTCGCTGTACCATATTCTCCTGAATTGCTGGTAGCGGGCTATTGATGCAGGTCTTCTCAAAGGGCCATATGATGTGAGGCCAACTTTCCACAATCGTTTGTGTTGCTAAAGGCCTTGCCAAAACAACTTGACTTCGTTTAGGATCTGGAAAGAGTTTTGTCTTGTAGCAGTGACAATATTTCTGTCCTCCCTTAGCATCATAATACACTGAGATTCACTACAAGGTCTCCTATTGGCACTTCCAGTCTCTTGGAATCAGGCTAAAGCCCAGGAGGCCACGCTCTGAGAAACGCCAACTGTTTCTGCGATATCCACTTGCCGGTGACCTCATTCTCAATAATATTACGAACTTCTGGTTCAAGATTATGCCTTTCCACGGTTAAAGAGAATACAACCGGATTAAAATGGAGAAAAGGTGTTTGTTTACAAAATGAGCAATTTTAACTATTATTAAGTAAATCCATTATTAAAAATGAGGATTTACTTTTTTTTTGGTTTGTATTTTCTATTTTGTTTTACCGAACTAACAAGATTATATAGGTTAATTTAATTAAAATTAATAGAATAAGAATAAATTACAAATATCCTTAATCATTTTTGAGCAATTTATTTCTTTACTGAAAATTTGTGATTCGACTCGTTGGCCGCCAGAGGGCGAATGGCGGAAATGTTATTCTCCACCTATTCATAAATAACTAATCTTACAATTGTCTCACAAATTAAATTTTATGAAAGTTAGAAAATGTTTCAAATTAATATTAACCGATTACTGTTAGCAAGTTTTTTTCTAATTAGGTCCAATTTTTAAAAATTTTTAACCATAATTTACTACATTCAGAAGATTGTTAATCAAGCTGGCATTGACCTGATAGTTCCTCGAAATTTCTGTTAAAAATTATAATAATTAATTTCAATTTAAAAATAACTAATTAGTTTTTAAATCTTCGTTAATTTTTTGTTATTAATTTTAGGAATGGGTTTGGGGGTATGTAAAATTTTTTATTTCCACAGAAGGGTCGTTGTATCACTGGCCGTTTCCCGCCATTCCCAAACGATTCAGGTTTCAACTGGCGGTCGACACGGCTTTTTTACGGTGAGCTTTTATTTGGAAATATAATTTTACATTAATAAAAGCTGCTTTTTCGTTGAAAACTTAGATAAATCGTTAATGAAATAATTTATCAAACGCCAGTTTTACATATAGATTAATTGGTTGTACTATTGCGACACAATGAGTCGGTTCAACCTCTTCGGGTCGTCTGGTGACTTTGGTAAAATTTTCCTTCTGTGTTACCAACAAATCAAATATTTTTTCAAGAGAAAAAAGCATTTTTATTATTATAATAAAATTTTTATTTTATAATAAAATTATTTTAATAAATTATACTTTTTGTCTAAGGTCTTTGTGGCGATGAAAAAGTTAGTGTTACACGGTGATTCGAACCCATGGCCTTTGGCTCAATATGCCACAGCTCTCACCACGTGAGCTATTGACTCGTGAAGTCATGATAGCTTAAGTAGTTGGGGCAATGGCATATTGAGCCTAAGGATGTTGGTTCAAATCCCGCTCACAACACTAAAAAAAAGTATAATTATTTCAATTGATTATACTTTTTATCTAAGGTCTTGGTTGTGATGAAAAAGTTAGTGTTACAAGTGGGATTCAAACCCATGTCCTTCGGCACAACAATCCTGCTCATGACACTGACTTTTTCATTTCAACCAAGACCTTAGATAAAATGTATAAGAATATGTACTGATTTTCGAAGAGCATCGTATAATATGCATCCTGACTAATTCATCTATCTACTGAATTTGAACAAATTATTTCAATGAGTGTTAAAAAAATATAAATAAAAAAATAAAAAATACAATTGATGCTGTTTATTTCAATCACTCTGCACTTTCCACTAAAATCATAATCAGAACTGATTCTTGCACCCACAACAAAAGCATTTGGTAATATTAAGTCAGTTTTATTTTTTTGAAATAAATTCTTTTACAATAATAAACACTACAGGTACAATATTGTATTATACATTATATCAATGTTGTCAAAAATCTACGTTTTATTGGTTGGGGAAAAGTTAATTGCCGTTGAAGGTCAAAACAAAATTACATAAGATTTTTTAAAATTATTTGTATGGAAATTCTATTTAGTATTTGCACAATATATTACATTATTCTCTTTTTGTAAGTTTGTGTATTTAACACAATTTTGTCTATGATTTGATAGAAAATTTATGTAAACTATATTTCATTTATTGTAACCTTTATACATTTTTTGTGTTTTTTATTTTCTAGGTGGAGCTGTGCCGTTTTTATTCCTACATTTTCAAAAAGCGGTATTAAACAGTGCGTTAAGTTGTTCTGTGAGTGTTGAACGCGAGTGTGTACAGTAAGCTGGTTCATCATAGCTATTTTAAGGCGAGGATTATTGTTTTCAGGGGGTAAATGTTATTTATACAACATGCATTTTTTATATGCACCTTGTCTTCTATTCTCTGTTTTTAACTGAATTTTTTCTTTTCCCAGGAGGGATTTACAAATGGTAAATCAACTCTCTCTGCTGGCAGTCAGGTTAGTGAGCATGTTAGTATAAATATTTATTATATATATTATAATAAGAAGATTCTCTTGAATGGGAAGAAATTGGAGAAAATAAGCTCAAATCCTCACATGTATGTACATACATATTATATACACTCATGTACATGGTTGAGCCTATCACTTCTCCCAGTCCGCTGACAATTCCTACTTTTGCAATTTACAATAAATTTCCAGAAGCCGCAAGAATCATCCACCCCAGATATTGGCTGTTGAGAGGCAGACCGACTCGGTCTTATCACTCCAGCCGCCGGGGTTGGCCTTTGTATGCTGACAATAGCTAGGTCAATTCATCACCCACCCCATGCAGTACCAAACTCATTTACTCACACTTATTCTTAAATACATTCTCTCCTATTTATATACCATTAATTTAATTAGGGTGGTGTAGTACTCGATATTCCTCCATTACCCTCTACACATATTATAAATCAAACCTAATTGAGGGTCAATGGGATACTCAATATTCCGCCATCGACTAAATGGACACTAAACATTCATACTAATAATTCATTCTTAGCACATGCTAGCGACACAAAAACTATATTCGATAAAACAGCCCTTTTCCCTCCAAGAATTGGAACAGGGTACTCCCATTTCTAATTTCTCACCCCCCCCCCCCAAGTCCCGCCCTTTGTTGAAACTGGGTAACACTATTGTGTTTAAATTTAAATTTTGTTTTGTTTCATTTAGATGGTCTTTAAATTCAGAAAATTTGTTCAGTGAGGTAAATGTTCTTTAACTATTGTTTTAATTTATCTGCTGCTTTGTCCTATATATTATATATCACTATCATTACAATTAAGTTGATTTTTTGTTGGTGTCCATCTTGATTTTATTAAACTCCATAATAAGATGATGGGTAGAAAATAAATTGTCTTTTCCACAATAGGATTTATTTTGTCAGATGTGTTTTGACTATCTTCCAGAGACTTTTTTATATAAAGCGGGTTGATGGTTTTTTTACATTGTTAGAAGTTCCAATGTGGATGACTGTATGACTATGGACATAGCGAATAGTCTATCAATAGACTGTGCAACGACCATAAAACACCGTGGCCACCCAGGTTTTACGTTTTGATGCTCTAGTTTTTTTTCATACGTGACGACGACTTATATGACAAAACGAACATAATGAAAATAAAAAACAACCCAATTTGTACACATATGAACAATACTGGTTTTATTGTAATTGAAATACTGGAAATTATAAACAACTGCGGACTGTTGTGGCATCCGTTGGCGGTGTCGGTTGCGTCCCACATTGCGTCAACACAATTCGACATAACCGTCCTCCGTAAGGGTGGATATGTGCCCATAAGTCTCTTCCATGTAGGCAAGGAACTCGAAGTTGGACCTATCCCTCTTGTCTGGGGCGAGCAAATCGGAGAAACGCTCGTTCAATGATTTCAATGACAATGGCATCTTGCCCTTGAGCTCCTTCTCAATCTTGTCGAAGAGGCCCACCTTCTCCAGGTATTTGGGCTTGTACTCTTCAGGGTGGGAGATGAGCCAGGTGGCAAAGTCATTGATTATGCTGAAACATGAGGATCAGAAGGATGATACGAAGGTTAAAAGTATATAAATCCAAATCTGTTACTTCTCTTCAAGCATGTCTTTCCAGAAGAAGCTGAAGTCGAAGATCTCCTCAGGTACAATGCTTGTTTCAAACCACTCAACATAAGTCTCCTTCTTCTTCTTCTTCGAAGAATCTTTCATTTTATTCTCATAGTAAATGTCCCATAGAATCTGCCTGTGGATTGCAGCTCGAATTGATTGCTGCGACATGACAGGACAAAAATGTCATCTTACAAATATGGAACTTGATAAGGATGTCAAAAGAAACTTACATCTGGGTCATTGAAAATTGATGAGATATTTTTGGGTAGGCACTTCAATTCCTTGTGCTGTATTAACAATGACTGCCTCGTGAAATCATCGAAGCCAACGGTGAACAGCTGCTTCAGACCAGCTTCGTCGAATTTCTGCTTGCCAAAATCAGCAGAGTCAACCCAACTGAGGAATTCGCGTGCGACCTTATTAAAACAAATAAAAGTATAAACAAAACATCTATTTTCAAGAGATCTTGTGTAGTTTTAGCATCCAGTAGCTCCTGCGTACTTCTGTTCTCCTGATACATACATATTCAAGGAGTACCAGCATACTTTTTCAATATAGGGTTCTGCCTGCTATTCATACATAGTGTATGTTCAAGAAGCAAGTTTAACCTACTGCTACTGCTAACATACATTCCAGGCAATCTTTAATTATTTATATGCCCCACTGCCCTATTGCTTATTCTTACTCTTCGCATCCTAATGCTGGAGGTCCTGAATTTTTTGCCCTCCTATACACCGAGCTCTTGCTGACACATTTAATGATAAAATAAGTAGACCTTCCAAGCAGAAGCTAATGCATACCCAGCACTAAAACCTGATTAAACTAGACTAATGGTGCAACCAGCTAACATCACTCACTCGACTTGAAAACTGCTCAAGCCTATCGTCAACCAACCTTCGCACACACAACCATCCCACAACAGCGTACAGCAACACATGACCTCAGACAATAAATGAGTAAAAGTACCTTAGAAAAGTCATCCACCTCATCATTGCTCAAGTCAAGTTCCACTGCGGTCTTTTGTTTCTTCCCGAATGTACAGTTCTTGATCATATCCTGTGTTATCCACAAGCCCTTTTTTGCTTGCCTGGAGGCAAAAAAAAAAAAAAAAAAAAAAAAAAAACTTGCATGGGTCTGGGGTTTTAAGTAGAAATTCACATTGTATGTGTCTCATCGTAGCTAGACTTTGTCGACGCCTTAGTGTTGTATGATGGTTCGGTGTATGTGTCGACCGAGAACTCCGGTGTCTATTATTTATGGGAAGAAATTGTTATTTTTGACTTACACCGTGTGGATTTAAAATTTATAATTAAATTACTTAACAGGAAATGCACTTTTGACCAATTGCTTGTAAGATGATGGTGTGTTTAAAATTAACGTGCTTTTATAATCAAAGGAACTTATGCTGTATGATGACGATTTACTCTTTACAACCGTAGGGACTAAAAATATTCAAATTTGATTAAATTTGGGGAATTATTGATAGGTTGTAATGGCTTGCCTGGTGTTGGGAAAAAACTGTTCTCCCCCGTACGTACAGACGAATTCTGCGACATGCTCAGGATGCTCTTAACTGCCTTGAACTGCTTCGGCGTTATCGACTTTTTAAGCCTGTCGTGATTGAGCAGCCTCTGAAGATGACGTGTTTGTTTAGCTCGTCTTAAAACAGACCGCTGTAGTTGTTACCATTGAAAAGTAGTTCTCGGCAAACTCGATCCGATCTTTTTTGAGCTGTTTTAAATCCTTTGATTCTCTCACGAACTCACTGCCCTTCACCTTGTGGTGACAGCGTCTCACCATCGATGGCAGCGTCATGCTATCGATCGGCTTTTTCAACCTCACCATCTTTTTTTTTTTACTTTCTCAAACTAAAAGGTGAATCCTTTAAAACTTGTTGATTGAAAATCTAAAAAAAATTAAAGTACAAATAACTCTAATACAAATAATTAAACAAAACAAAACACATACACAATCATATGGATTTAGTTAAACATAAACACAGAAAACTGGAATAAAACAATTTATTTACAATATTAAACAATAAACAAAAATTAAAATATATAGTGTAGAATAATACACAAATTCCCGCCAGGTGCACTCCATTTAAAGCTTGAGCCTTTTGGTGTCGAACTTGGGCTTGTCTACTTTCTCGGGCTGCCTCTTCTTCCTTATTTGCTTTTCCACTTCGTCCTGTAGTCTGTTGAAGAACGCTGTCGACGATTTAACAGTCTTGCCCGACTCGTCTTTCTCCAAGGTCTGGAAACAACAGAAAAAAAGTTTAGTTTTTAACAGTTTGACCAACTTTAATGTCTCATTTAATTACGTTGGCCTTCGTGAGCTTGATACCGTTCCCAGACTTCTCCCGGTTCCACTTGGCCTTCTTAGCCTGGAGTGCCTTCTTCTTCCTCTTTTCCCTCTTCTTGTCCGTCTTTGTCTTCTCCTCCTTGCCGATCAAGTCCCTCTTGAACTTCCCTGTAAACATGAATGAAAATAATAACGCATTACTCTTAAAAATGTGTTTATTTTATCAACAAACCTGCTACTTCATCTGGCGCAAGGCTGTTGGCGTCTGCCATCCCGATCGGTGCTACCTCCTCCATGTTGATGGCGGGTGTGTTCGTTATTATTTTTAATTCTGTGTTTCCCTGAAAAATATTAAAAAAATTATATATAGTTGACAGACAGCACTATGACAGATAACTAGTAATTATTTTCCTAAAATGAAAAACTAACAAGACCTGTTATTTTTATCCTTCCTTCAAACAAAAAAATAAGTGGAAATTTCAACAAAATATGACTCTTTCCAAGTCCGCATTTAAGTTCAGAATGCTTATTTATCAACTAAAGAGCCAACAGATATCTGTCAAAGCAAGGAAAACTGAGGAAACACAGGGAGATCTGTCATTAGCACTTATCCTGTACTTATGTCAAATAATGCAAAAATAAGTATAAATTTCAACAAAAAATTACTTTTTCTAAGTCATAGGTTAAGCCTAGTATGCATATTTTTAACTGATGATATAACAGAAACTGTGAATAGGTCGAAAAGGAAAAGTTAACAGGACCTAATATCCTGATATTTTGGTTGTACTCAGCTAAAATATGTTCCAATTTCAACAAAAATGACTTTTTCCAACCCCCTCAGTTAAGTCACTGTGAACACCAGTTGTGGCCACTGACAACTTAGATCTGAGTCATTTCCAACAACCAGATCCATGAAACATTTCATTTAGACCCATCAGTCAGACGATTAGAACCAAGAGTGGAAAACATCCCTCCAACTGACAAAGACAATATGAAATTTACCAATTTGGGCGTGTAGTGTAGATTCGAGAGTGTGTCGAGCTGATAAAAGAGTTTCTTCATATGTGCTGCGATCTTTTTCTTTTCCTCAGACAGCTCTTCCTCAGTCTTGACATCATTCGTTTCCTTCGTCTTCTGCTTGAGAAACTCCTGAAGGTGGGGGGAAAAAAGAGAAAATTTCAGAAGTGTGTCAAACAAAAGGAAAAAAATAAATAAAATTACATTTTCATATATCTGCGCCAAGGACAGTTTGCTCTTTTCCTGATCAAGGACGATCTTTTTCTTCAAATCGTTGGGTGTCTTAATAGGCTTAACCTTCCTCTCAACGTCGTCGTACGTCTCGTCACGAATCCTCTTAATTATGATATCTTCAAGCTTCATTGTCACCTCCTCGGTAATGACAGGAGCTGTAGAATCAAAAGATTAGCCGACTGAGCTAGACTGAGATTTAATGTTCTAACACACCAGGCCGTTGTGTCATGTCGAACTCTACAACCTCCTCGAGTAAAGAATTAACAGGACGGCTTGACGAGTCTACCTCGCCTTTTAGGACCCAAGGCTTTTCTGACAGGGCTGCATCCTCGAGCTTGCGTATTCGCCTGTCCAGGTTCTCCTGGCGCCGCTCGAAGCTCGACTGGAACTTCGGCGTCAAGCTTTCGGGCTCGTCATCTGGCTCTGATGGCTCGCCTTCACTTCCACTCGACTCCTCGTACCCATCATCCTGATTCGAATCCTTCACAAAGTCAAAAATGATTACTTTCATTTAAATAAAGCCAAAAACAAAATTAAGAAAGATAAATTAAACCTCATTTCTGAGAAAGAATAGTCAACATAACCTCAAGATGGACAAAATCTGATGATATTAAGTAATTTATCAATTAAAATTATCTAAAAAAAATATAAAATTGGATTTTTGAAATGGGATTTTACCTCTTTGGGGCTTCCGAAGAAGTCATCGTATTTGGCCTGCTCGGTGTCTGATTCGTCAGAAGGTATGTCTTGGAACATGTCGACCTCATCATCGTCATCATTATCCTCGCCATTCTCTTCCATTTCAACAAATTTTTCCATGTCACTCAGGCTGAAAAACCTATCTTTTTTCTCTTCAGCTGGCTCTTCATTTTGAAATGTGACCTTCTTCCGCACTGGCTTGTGTTCCTGCTCTTCCACGTCTTCCACCTCATCATTGTCTTCCAGCACATCTTTGTTTTCCTGCCTTGTTGGATCAACTGTCTCGACCGGGTACCTAAGCCGGCCCTTGTGCAAAACGCACCTGGCAAGAGTCGGGACAAGTCCATCCATCTCGACATTGACACGGTCCAACTGCTGCCATATCTGCTCGTTCATGAATCCTTCAACAAGGAGTTTGTCATATTCATCGCTCCCTTGGATCAATTCATTGTACAACGACTCAATTACACTCTTTATCCTCGCTTCCTGGCTCTTTTCCCCTCTTAAAAAAAATCAAAACCATTACGTTAAAAATTGTTATACCAAAACCACCAAGCAAATCCAATACCAATAAAAAAAACATTCATTAACAATTAAAAATACACACAAAAAAATTAATCAAACAACTTATTAAATCATTTCATAAAAGCATCTCCCTCAATAAAAAAATAATGTAAATAATAAAATTTTTGTTATATTCTAACTAGCTGGAGATAAGCGTCGCTAGACAGAAACTTCACTTTATCATTGTGTATAATGTGTGGTGTTTAGTGACTGTTAGTTAATGATTATTTGGAGATCGTGAGATGCGGTCCGGTGTAATGTAGGTTTAGAAAAACATTTTCTTTAACATGCCAAGTTTAGATGTTTATTGAGATCAGCTTCAGGGCCTGGGACTTATAAACATTGTTTAAATTATACAAATACATGTAGCATGGGGAAAAAATGAATTTATTCAATGCCAGAAATTCTATACTCAAAGTATTTGTTTTCTGTGTAAATCTGTCCCACGACACACAATAATGGCACATCTACACAGTACAAGTATTTTGATTGAGTCTAAAATTTCTAGTATTGTATAAACTCTTTTTTTTTCAAATCCTATATATTTGTATAATTTAAACAATTTTTAAAAATCCCAGTCCCTGAAGATGATCTCAATAAAGATTAAAACGTTGGCACGATAAAGAAAATGTTTCCTAAACCTACATCACACCAGACCGCATCTCACGATCTCCAAATAATCGTATATAATGTATAATGTAGATATTTTTAAATAAAATTCTGTTCTGTTCTATAGTAAAAAAAAATTAGTTTACTGTCAAATCTGACAATATGGACCTAAACGGAGGAGACTCCAGAGAGGACGTGTCTCACTGCAGAAACTCAAAATCAAACAGAAAAAGGAAAATACTCTCAAAATTTGATCTTTTTACGGTTTAGAAAAACTATAAAAAAAGTTTAATTATTGGGTTAATAATACGAATAGAAATATTTCACCTGAGGAAGTCCAGTGGGTAGTTTTCAGGCAGGTCCAGAATATCTTGGACGTTTTTGATAACTTCCATCTCGCCTTTTTCGCCCACAATTTTACACCTTATTCTAATTTTATTTTTGACTCATCGTGAATTTAAATAAATAAATAAAATTTGAGTTAAATTTGAATGAAAGGAAGGTTTGAGGATCATGCATACTCCATAGCAAGACATGCGGCCGAACCTGACAGGTATATAACAGCCAATGGCTTATATAAATTAATCGATGTTTTAAATCGATGCATCGTGGTTTACAGCGAGGTCCGCCGCCTCGCCTTTTCCTTGATATTTTATTTTATTTATTTATTTTAAAGGTGCAAATAAGGCTTTAAACACTCTAAAATATACACATACTTTAGAAATAAATTTAGTTCTATAAACATAGTAAAATAAAAATCATATCAATAATAACAAAATATACAAAACAATAATTTTAGCTAAAAACGGTGGATATCAAGAAATATTTAATGATAGGTTGCTAGTAAAAAGAATTTAAAAAATATCTTTAATAGAAGCAACAATCGGATTCGGCTACCCCACAAAAAATTAATCATTAGGTTTTCGTTGCTTGCTATACATTGGTGAACTATCAGATCTCCCTGGCTACTTCAGATTCTTCAGAAGTTAAATTTGATTTTTCTCTTACAAATACGCGAAAACAGGAAACAAACCTGCAGAGTTCAAACAAAAATGCCTTGAACTAAACCAATGTAATGATGATGCTTTAATCTGATCTTTAACTGATAGTTCCAAAAAATCACACATGGTAGGTTGTTCTTATGTAATTGAGATTTGAGAGTCACCCTTCTATTTTTCGTTAACCCTTACTTTTCAGTTCATATAATGCAGAAATACTTGCCATTTTAAATTCTTTAGATGATCCCTGATTCCTCTATCAGTCACCATAAAATAAATATTTTCCAATTCTTATAGTGCGCTTCAAACAATTTAGAATCCGTACTACAAAAATTCATTAGTTCTGAATGCACTGACTGCAAAACTTTGAATGGCTTTTCTGTTTTCTTTATTTGGATATCAAGTCATGTCAGGAATAAGGGAAATGAACTAGCTGACTAAGCTGCACAGCACAATCCCATCATCTCAGTTTTAATAAATCCTGAAGATATAAAGTCTGCTTTCATACTTAAATGGGAAAATCAGTGCAAACAAACCATTTCTAATAAATTACAAAATATAAATGAGACTGTTAAACCTTGGGAAACATTCTTCCAAATTTCCAGGCTTGAGTTCGTACTATGTCGATTATGTATAGGGCACACAAATATGAACCACAGTCACCTCATATATCACTGACATGCCTTTGTGATTATCAATTAGATTTATTACACATACTTATGCCCTCCCTTTTGTCTGAGGTGGGCTCATTACCCCAAAATCCCATTGACTGTAAAAGAAATGTTAGGGAATGAAGAGAAAAAAATTGATCAAGTCTAAAAATGAGAAATCTCTATAAACTTATATAAATTTCAACAATTAATTTCCAATATACCGCTACTAGTACAGTAGCTTTAGAGGTACATGCTCACTTAGGAACATTCTCTCAAAACCTAAAGACAAAATTGACAACTTATCAAAAAGCGGGGGGCTTATCTACTTAATTGTAATGAATGCAATATTAAATACAGGGTGTGTCAACTTCTATAGTACATGATATTTTTAAATACATATTTACAATTAAATAAAACTTTTTGATTAAAAAGCTCCTGAAGAATAGTCTTTGAGGTAATGGCAGACATTTACCTTGATGTTTTTGTTTATATTTCAAGTGATGTAGTTTGGCTTGGAAATATTTTTTTTATTATTATTTTCTCAGGTGTGAACAAAATATTACAATAGAATAAAATTGTTATGTTTATTGTGGTTTCCTGAAGTGGTTGTTGAGTGGTCCCTCGTCTGTGAATCCGGCTATCTCCTGTGGCACGATTGCGCTCTCCTCGATACCGGTGCAAGGTCGGCACATGCATTCAAGCGGTGCTTTTGTCATGACTTTTCTGAATTTCCTCTCGCCCGGCTTTGCCTTGGGGCAAAATAGAGATACGCTCGCCTCTCGTTCGCCACTTTCCTGACAGCACATACAGCTCCGTTCCATCTGCCATATCTTTGAGCCAGAGACCTGTATGTAAGAGCTGCACCGTCCCTGGCATGCAAATGAAGGTATTGGCTTTGGGACGCAGCCTGGGTACTGGAGGACATGGATCACAGGCGTCACGTCACACTCGTCCAGCCTCCTCGGCTTGTTCTGCTTCTCACACAAGACTGTCTGGCTCATTAGTATACTTCCAAGCAGAACTGAAAGCAGAAATAAATTATAAAAAATATATTTCAAACAGGCATAAATTTTAATCTTGAATTTCACTTACCTATATCCCAGAAGAGGTTGGAAGTTGTCATCTCGCTCTCTGCTGTAAGACTAGGTCCGCAGCAAAAGGAGAGTGAGTTTTATAAGACGAGGTATGGTGTAATGGGGGGAGGTGGGACTCAGCTTGCTGCCTGTCCAATCCCCAGACCTCATCTCTCCTCCCTCATACCACCCGGTGTGAGGGGGATATTGTTTAAGAATCCAGCTTGCCATTTGTTACAAAACGCTTCTTATAATAGATGAAATATTTATTCACATTTGACCATTTGTAAAAAGATAATTGTACAATTATGTTGATCAAAGGGGTTCAGCTAAAATAAAATAAAATTTCACCAAAAAACGATTTTTTTCTAAGCCCTCAGTTAAATCCAGAATGCTTATTTTTGTTTGAATATAAAGAAGAAATAGTTAAAAATTATTTTTCCCTAAAAATCGTATTTTTGACTGAAGATCAACAGAAACTCGGAAATGCCAGAAAAAACTAGAAAACCCTTAATAAAAGGTAACAGAAGCTCTTGTCCTGGTACTCCTCCCATTAGGCTAAAACAAGTTTCAATTTAAACAAAAAATGACTTCCAAGTTCTAGAATGCTTGATTTTGACTGAAAATAAAGAGAATGGTTAAAAACTAAAAAAAAAACCTAAGGAAAAAGCTAACAAAATCTGATATCTGATAATTTGGTCAAATTCAGCTAAATGAAATGCAAATTTCAATAAAATTTGTTTTAGATAAAGTCCTTAGTAAAGTCTAGCATTCAAAGTTCAGATTTTGGAAGCTACCATAGTATAGAAATGCTGGGGAAAAAAAAGGAGGACTCCAGGAAAATATTCTGAAATAAGCTGTCATCCTTTTACTTTCATCAAATTAAGCTAACATGAAGTTTAAATTTAAGCAAAAACTGATTTTTTCAAAGTATTCAGGTTAAGTATAGGATGCTTATTTTTGACTGAAAATAAAACAGCAATCGGTCCTAGTTGGGAAAAATGAGAAAACCTAAGGAAATCTGTCAGGAGCTCTTGTCCTGATATTTTCATCAAATTAAATCATAAAAAATTAATCTTGGAATAAAACCTGACTCAGATATAGTCCTTAGTCAAGTTGCATAATTTAGTCTTTGGAAGCAATGAAAGTCTAGAGATTCTGGCAAAAAAGAGATAACCCAGGAAATATAGCAAGAGTCTAGAACACTTGTTTTTGACTGAAGATACAAGAGAAATGGTGAAAAGCTCAGAAAAAATTAGAAACCCCTAAGGAAAAGCTAAGAGAAACTGTTATCTTGATACTTTTTTTTGACAAATTCAGTTAAAATAAATTTAAATTTCAACAAATCCTGACTTTTTCTGAGTTTTAAGTAAGTATAGATTAACAGGAGCTGTTATACTCATATTCTCATAAAATAATGCAAAAATAAGTACAAATTTACGCTATAGTAATAAATTTATACTTTATTTATAGTATTTCTGAAGATGGAACAGAAATGGTGAGATAGAAAATGAAATATGGACCAGCATAGGAGAAAGAAATCAAAAGAAAAAAGAAGCGTAAGAGCAGAAAGGTGATAAAGATAGATCTAAAGCGAACTAGTCAGAGAGATAATGAGAAACTGGTAAAATAAGAGAAGGTGAAAGACAAAACAAGAGACTAAATAGGAATAAAAAATTAGAGATATTCCAATTAAAGAAATAAAATAGGTTGAAGTGCGTGTAAAATACAGAAAGGAAGGAATAAAGAGAAAAGAGAATGGTCAATGAATTAGTTAAGAGAGAACAGGAGAGAGGAAAGAAACAAAGATAATCCAGAAGGTCAATGACTGAGAAAGAAAATTAATGTAGACCAACTAACAGACAAAGACAGAATAAAGAGAAACGCAGAATAGTAAATAAATTAATTAATAGCCCCTCCTCCTTTATTTAAAGTAATCCAATAATAAATAGTAGATAATGTGAAACAATAAGATTATGAAAATCTTATATTTGATATATTAATAATTTATGTACATTTTATTTCTCATTTTTCCTCGCTACCTCAACATATCAAACGAGGGCACTTAGCGGACCCTGGACATGCTTACACGTTTACACGCCCTCGTCTGTTTACGCTGCTGGGCCTAAAAGCCACCTCCACCCTAAAAACGTTGTTAAGAGCCATTCGGCTCAGCATGGGGCCGCCCCCAGCCGCCCACTCCCGGACAACAACCCTCACCACCCATCTATTTATTATGCATTCATTGACTTTTAGACGTATCGATATCAGACAAAAAATAAATTATTTATAACATTTAAATTGTTTATATTATTCTTCACTTTAGAATATGGTAATTATTACTTTACATTTCTTGTGTTAGTTGATTTAATTTTTTCACCTCTTAATTTCATTATTTCTCTTTTTTGTTAATGACAAAAAATTAACAAATTTTTAGTTTTCATTTGCCTGATTAATCACCTCTTTCTTCTTAATTAATTTTCCTTTTTCTTTGTACTGCATATATCAGCACAAGATCTGCCAGATGTCCAAAGATTTTATCGTTTTTCCAAGCTAGATTGTTGTTTTTCTTCACCGAAAAAACAAACATTCTGGCCTTAACTGAAGCCTGAAAAAATCAGTGAAATTTAAACTTATTTTAGCTGAATTTGTTGAAATTAACAGAATGACAGCTTTAGAACATTTTACTGGATTTCTTTCTCCTTTTTTCCCAGCATCTCTAGACTTTCATACCTTTCAAGTCTAACTTACGCATGCTGGACTTTATAAAGTCAGATTTTACTCAAAGATCAATTTTTATAGCTATAGAATATTTATTTATATTTTTATCCTGACAGATTACCTTAAGCTTTCTCATTTTTCCTATCTAGGACTGTTTGCTGTTGTATATCCAGACAAAAATAAGTGTTCTGAACTTAACTGAAGACTGTGAAAACATCATTTTTCACTTCTAAACTTAATTTAGAAAGCTTAATAATAAGGTAATTATTAAGCTTAATTTAATGAAAATATAGTATGTAAGCTCCTGACATTTTTCTTTAGGTTTTCTTGTTTTTCCCACCTAGGATTGATTGCTGATGAATCTATAGTAAAAAATAAGCATTCTGGACTTAATCAAAGACTTGGAAAAAAAATCAGTTTTTACTGAAATTTAAACTTATTTAAGCCTAATTTGATGAAAATATTAGTTTATGAGCTACTGAAAGATTTCTTTAGGTTTTCTCGTTTTTCCCACCTAGTTTTGTTTGTTGATGTATCTATAGTCAAAAATAAGCATTCTGGACTTAACTGAAGACTGTGAAAACATCATTTTTCACTTCTAATAAACTAAGGACTTAGAAAAAATCAGTTTAAACTTATTTTAGCTTAATTTGTTGAAAGTAACAGAATGACAGCTTCAGAATATTTTCCTGGGGTTCTCTCTTTTTTCTCAGCATCTCAACAAATCGTCTGAACTTTGAAAGAGATTTGTGTTTAAATTTATACTTACTTTTAGATAATTTGACAGAAGTTTGAGGATAAGAGCTTTTCCAGGGTTTTTCTTGTTGTCCCAGCTTGGATACTGTTGGACCTTTGGGCATAAATAAGCATTCTGAACTTAACTAAGTATGTGGAAAGAGTCATTTTTTGTTGATATTTATATTTATTTTTCCAAAAAAAGTTTATTTATTTTTCCAAAAAAAGTTTATTTATTTTTCCATAATTTTGATGAAAATTTGCGGATAGCAGTTCATGTAGCTTTTCTTGGTGTTTTCTAGTTTTTCCTTGCTTTTCACTGTTTTTGTTTGTTTGTTTCTTTCCTAGCTTTTCACCGTTTCCTTTGTGTCTTAACACAAAAACAAGTAGTCTAGACATAACCAAAGTCTTGGAAAAAGTCAAGACTTATTTTAATTTAAGGTTTTTTTTTTAAAAACAGTTTTTCAACACTTTCATTGCTCCCAAAGGTGAAATTATCTAACTTTACCAAGAACTTTATTTAAGTCAGATGTTATGGTGGAATTGTAAAATATGAACAGAGAGAGTAAGAAAAAATACAAAGATATAGCGATAAATTTATTTTTTCAAATGTGTCAATTGAATAAATGCACAAATTCCCTTATAACTTATACAGTACAATTGTTATAATAATTTTATAATTACAGCACTGACTTATTGCTTAAATAAAATAAATGATGGGGGCGGAGAAAAAAAACAACAAAAAACAAACAAAAAAGTCCTATCGTGTGTAGTCGCCGCATTTGAAACACTTGCAGTCCGAAGGCTCCCTCAGCTTCACGTCCATAGTTGACGAGCCATCCCGTTCGAGGCGCATACCGTCCGGGTCATAGCAGTGTGTTAGAGTGACAATCCTCTCACGAAGAAAACTCTCTCTGCAGCAGTAGCACTCCTGGATGGACGTGTAAATTAATAAATATCATTTGGTATTTTGTGAACACTTTTTTAAAAAAAGATTTTACCTAACTATACGAACCTTGAGGAAGCCCGTAGGCGTTATGACACTCGGCTGCACTTGCGATGTACATGCGCCTTCACACTTGTTCACCGCTATGTCACCATTGCATGTCCTTGAAAGCCTCCCTAACTCGTCAAACTCCTCTAAGAACAAATTAATATTTTATTTAAAAAAAAAATATATATATATATATTTTCACAGTATACCTTTGATTATGTGTATCTCAGACGGTAGGGTCTCACAGGCCTCGTCCTGTCCTTGGCCCCTTGCCAAGGCTACACAGGCCAGCGCCAGGGCGAATTGGTTCACGTGCATACTTGCAAGAAGGATCAACCCCACTGGCATGGTGTCGACGAAGGACCGGCCTTTTATAAACCGGCCACCCTCTCGAGACCAGGGGGGGGGGCACCTGCTGTGCCTGAAAGCTGCCCTAATAACATCTTATTGCATGTTGAAAGCTGGTGTAAATGCCAGCTGTTAAATTATAATCATTAACAAATTGACTGTTTAATAAAATGGGGGGTGGTTTATTAGTTCTGACGATTCTAGTAAATGTATAATTTATTTAGTACATTCGATGATAAAATTCTAAATGGTTAATAACAAATAAAACATTCAATTAAGATTTTTAATATTAAAATGTCATGAAATACAAATAAAACAATCTTTCATAAATCTAACACTAAATTGTAAGAATTTATTTAAAAAAATAAAGTTTTAACAATTAAAGATATCATATTAATAATATATGAACAGCTTAGACTGTGGAAAGAAGTCTATTTAAATTGTACAACACAATTTTTTTTCTCTCAAAATTTTAGCCTAGGTCGTTAGCTCTTGACTGTTAGTAGTTCCTGTCATCTTTGGCAAATCGGAGAAATAAATTAATTCAGGTTTACTTTAAGATTCCAGAATATGTGAGCAAGTGAGATCAGATTTAGTTGAAGATTCTGTTAATTTAGGCAAGATTTTAGATTTATAGATGATGCATATTTAATTAAGCAGGAGCCTGATGATCTACAAAATATCCTTGAGAAAATCATGCAACATATTTACTGACGATATCCAGCATATTGAAAGATAAATATGCAGAATCTTGCCTTATTTGGTGGGAATCCTCTGCAAACCTGAAGTCACTTGCTCAAATATGCTGGGATCTTAAAATAAAACAGAAGAATCTTGTTTAAATATGCAGAATCCCTTATAAATCGGCAGACTCTTACTCCAATAAACTGGGAATCAGCTGAATTTTTGTCAATCTTGCATAATTTTTCTGAAGGATTATTGTGTATATCTGCTGAATCTTTAAGTGAATCTGTACAAAATGGACAAAATAAGGAGACTTGCTTCAATATGCTAGAATCTAGTTACATCTGAGAATTTCGCTCAAAGTCTCTTGCTTAAATATGCTTGAATCTTAAAGTAAACGGGAAGAATCTAGTCTAAATATGCATGTTATCTTTAAGATTTCTCAGATTTCATAAGATTCTGCCAATTTATGCCAGATTCTGCTGAATTACATTAACATTCTGCAGATTTGCACAATATGCTTCAGAAAATTATGCAAGATTGCAATAGTGACAGCTGATGCCCAGTTTTTTTTTGGAGCAAGAGCCTGCAGATTTACACAGGATTCGGCAAAATTCTTTTGATCTAACTGAAAGATTCTGGCATATTTTGAGCAAGAGACTTCAGGTTTGTGTAGGATTTCAGCCAAATAAGGAAAGATTCTACATATTTATTTTTCAATATACTGGGAATCATTAATATTTATTATTTTTAATAAATATTTATAAATAATATTTATATAATATATATTATTTCATCAAATAATAAATTAAATAATATCTATTATTTATAAATATTATTTTTAATAAATATTTATTTATAACACAATTTTCTCACTGATATTGTTTAGATCAGCAGGGTCCTGCTTAATTAAATATGCTGGATTTGTCCATAAATCTAAAATCTTTATCAAAAGACTTCAGGTTGGTGTTGGATTCCAGCCAAATAAGTTAAGAGTAAGGGAATTCTAATTCTTCATATCTACTGTAATATTTTGCAGTTTCACTTAGGAAAAATTCTAGCATATTTAAGAAAAAATCTACAGGTATATGTAAGATTCTACAGATTTACTTGAAAATTCTGCGGATTTTCAAAATATCCTTCAGAAAATTATCCAAGATTATCATATTTACATTTTACAGATGATTCCCAGTGGATTGAAGCAAGACGACTGCAGATTTGCCCAATACCTTTGAGTATCTCATGTAGGATTCTCAAATTTGCTTACCAAGCGAGTGTGCAGAATCTTAAAAAAATCAGAATCTCTCTTAAATATGCAGATTCCTTATTTTACTGGAACCCTAAGCAAACCTGAAGAACCTTGCTCAAATATCTGCAGAATCACATTAACATTCCTTAGATTTACACAAAATTCTGCCAAATTTACACAATAATTCCCAGATTTACAAAGGATTACAGCTTATTTAAGCGAGAGACACATTTTATACATGATCTACTTAAAGATTTTGTGAATATAGAAAATATCCCTAAGAATATTACACATGACCCTTAGATTTATGATTGATCCTGTACATTCAGATAAAATTCTTCTGGTTTACTATATATCTAATAGCATATTTATACCAACAGACATCGCGTTTGCAGAGGATTCCAGCATATTAAGGCAAGATTCTGCATACTTAGGAGAGATTCTTCAGATTTACTTTAATATTCTACAGGCTCTTGCTTAAAAATTCTGGGAATCATGCAAATAGTAAAAATCTTGCACAATTTTCTCAAGGATTTGTATATAAACCTGTAGAATCTTGTCTAAATCAGCATAATATTGCTTGAAAATTCTTTCATACGGAAATAATGAGAATGTGGTTATTGTGCAAATCGACAGAATGTTATGAAAATAGGAGTCTTAAAGTAAATACACTGTTGTTTAATAATCTTGTATAATTCTGCAGGATATCGCTTGAACATGGATGATCTTGTGAATTAAATTATGTATATATATATTCAGGTTGAACTTTTTCACAGCTTTTATAGATATGTTCGTATCAAGGTTTTTTGATAGCATTATGTGCCATACGCTAACAGTGAAGCGTCTTTGCTATAAAGATAGCACCTAGTCGATCGTTCGTTATCAGAACTAGGCAGCAACTTCAATGTCCTTCTTTTCCACTACCGGATCCAGCTTTTCATATGGGTTTTGAAGTTCTCCATCCGGCGTAGGCTGTTTGTTCAGTTCATCCTGCCCATCTGTAAGCTGTAGAAGGACAAAACATATTGTAAAACAATCTATGGGGGGGGGAGATCAAATAAAATTATTATCTACGGTTTTATCTTCTTCGACAGCATCTGGATCTTTGGTGTCTTCTTTGACTTCCTTTTTGAATTTATTTACATCTGGGGAAGAAAACAAAATCATCAGTTGAAATAATTTTGGCAATGGTCATCGTGTTTCATACCGTAAATCGAGACGTCGAAGCCTAGGAGACGGAGGTAGTGGATCGCCTCAGGCCTGGAAATATACACCCGGAGGCTTTTGTTACCGCGCCATCCAACGAAAGACGTTGAAAGTCCCTTGCAGTCAATTACACAGCTGCCTTGAGCTGAGGGGTAAAAATCAGCATAGAGTGCCTTATTACTATTATTTTTTTTAAAAAATCAACTCACAAATCCCTTCGACCCCAGACTTAGTCTCCTCTGTGAGGATTGACAGGTCAGTCGGGTTGTGCGGGTCGAAATTCTGCAGTAATTTCAGTATATCTTCATCTGGTACGACTACCCTGCGCCCCTTGACGTACTGTTTGATCCTGAACAGGCCCTTAAATTCAACGATAAATAATTAACAAAAAAAAAAAAAAAATTAAACATTGACTTACTTCTTGTACAAGACGAAATTGGCACTGCATCGACCTGTTGTCGCACCTTGCAAAAACTTTCACACCAGTGTTTATAATCTAAGGAATTTAAAATAAAATGATTCTTTTATTGACTTGAATATTATTATTATTATTACAATATATTTTTTTACTTTGATCTTGGTCTGATTGTGGTCGACGAGATCCCTGACGGATTTGGAAGTGAAGTAGATATTCTTCTTTTTACCGACAAGACACCTTGTCAGAAGGCAGGTCGGCTCTAAATCCTCAATTTTATAAAATTCCCTAAAGTTTTACAATAAAAAATTTAATAAAATGAAAATTAATAATTTTTTAAAATCAATTAACCGTATTGAATGCCAGACTTCCTCATCTCCTTTGAAAAAGACGAACGGGTCTTCCCTGTAGCCGAGTATCCTGCGCCGTTTTTCCTTCTTGAAATTAGGCTTGTCCCCTGTAGAAAGATCATCATCTACTCTGGGCTGCGCCTCCCAAGGCAGTGCTGAAAGCTTGTGGACTACGGCAACGAAGAAACCACCTGTATCGCCATCATGCGGCAATATCCTAAGGCTTTAAACATAAATTTAACAAAAATTTAAACAAATTGTTTAGGGAAAAAAATCACCATTTTTCCAGTTTGTAGTCGACATCATTATCAAGGCCGATTTTCTCGAGTATCCTCTCCTGGTCTTTCGAAGCAGGTGACCACCTCCTCAACCCAGGCCTGTATTTGAGACCTTCGACTAAACCAGAAACGCCGACAAGTTCGAGCGCACCTATCAGATTCACACAATTAACCATGTCTTTCTTACCGCTGTATTTTTTAAAAATTTTTTATTATACCTTTAGCCTTGTGGAGTATGCGCTGGATGACTGCCTCATCCTCAACAGGGTTGAGCGAACACGTCGAATAGACGAGCCGGCCATTCACGGCAAGCATCTCAACTCCCCTTTTTAATATGCGATACTGCACGCTGAAAGTGGTTAATGAAAAGTGAGTTTGATTTGTCTTTGGATGACATTGGTTAGGTTCATTGTAAGTCGTATTTGACCTCGAATACTGGAAATAAGTTGGATTTGACTTTGGGAAACTAAGATCAGGTTGGATTGCACCTTGGAACCCTGGAGGCAAGTTGGATTTGATATTGAGAAATTAAATGATACTGGGAACCTAAGACCAAGTTTGATTTTATCTTTAGTACCCTGGCTAAGATTACCTAGGATTTGATCTTAGTAACCTGGGTTGGGGCCCACGACAAATCGGAATTGACTTTGAGAATCGTGGTAGCAAATCAAGGCAATTTGGATTTGACCTTGTTACCATGGTACCAATAACAGATGTCAAGTTGGATTTCACCATGGGAATGTTGAAAATGATTTTGCAAACATAAGAGCAGGTTTTCTTTTATCTTTGTACACTGGTACGGCCTAGTGGCAGGTTGAATTTGACCTTAATCCAAGGATATACAGATACACTTTTGGGCAGTTATATAAAATTTTTCTACCCATGCAGGCTGTTGGCATTGTTGATGTTCCATTTGACCCAGATGTCAGCATTCTTCCTTAGCGTTCCATCACCACTGCACGGCACATCGCACAGCACACGGTCAAATTTGACTGGACGTTCAGTCCCATCTATAAAATAAATGAAAAATAAATTAACCATTTAACGTTCCAATTATTTCTCTTCATAATACCTTCGGCTTTCTCCATGAAATTGGGCATGTTTGAAGCGTCGTGATTCGTGATGATGCAGCACGGGCTGTTCAAACGTTTTGCCTGATGAACAAGCATGTAGCACCTCGAATTGTCAACATCATTTGCAATTACGAGACCATCTGACAATAATAAATTTAATTTATTGAATAATTTAATGGAACGTCAACAATCTCTTACCTGGGACTGGATCGTTTTCGTGGAGTTTCTCTATAAGCTGAGCCGTCTTGCTTCCAGGCGCGGCGCACATATCAAGCACCTTGTGGTGCGGCTTCACGTCAAGTATAAGTGGTGGGATCATAGAGACAGTCTCCTGGCGTGATATATTGCCTGTTGCCGTCTCGGCCATGAGGAAATTGTGGAGTCGGAAGTACATCTCAGAGCGGCGTATGTCCTTGCGAGATATCGTCAACTGCCAGCCGAGCGAGTCCGGGTACCAGGGGAGGCATTTGAGGTCGGCTCGGCAGCCCTCGGCCTCGAGGAGGCTCGCGAACAGATCGCCCTGGACTATCTTGAGGAGCAGGCGCGCTTCCTCTTTTGAACATGCCGTAATACGAAAGGCAGTTGGCAGGTCCTTCTTCATGTAGGATAAAAAAGTGTCCCACTCTTCGTCTGGAACTATCTTCTGCATCTATAAAACAAAAAACACATTTATTACCCACATAACATTTATATTAAAAATAATGAGCGGTACAGACTTTATAGTAGCTTTCAAATTCTTTGTTCTCTCTGACGATGTCCTTGTAACTCCTTCTCTCCCCATTTTCAGTGTTTTCCTGAAGAAAACACTCTAAAGTAATATGACAAATAAATACCATCACTTTTCATTGGTTCACTCAGACAAACCAATAGGAAACCAGGGATAAGTTCATGGCAGGTATTATTAGATTTAGGAAGCCAGGTCGGGTTGATATAAAACAAGAAAGCCAGGGAATGGATTTGTGGTCAGTTGGATTTGACCTAAGCCAGGTTCTGGTTGGTATTAAACTAGAGAGCTTGTAACCCAACTAGAGAGGTTTGTTGTATGATTTTTCCAGAGGAAAGTTTGAGGCTTGCAAGAGAAATTTTCTTAGGACGCCAGGGAGAGTTTTGGTAGTTGGTTGGATTTGACCTCAGGAACCCCCGTAAGGAAGGTTCAAAGCCAAATTTCAAAGATTTGAGTTAGAAAGCCAGGGTCTGGTTTATATTCAACAGAGACCCAAATGAAAGTTCCTGGCTGATTGGATTTAACATAGAAGCCAGTGACTGGTTGGATTTGACTTAGGAAGCTGTAGTAGGATGATATGGAACCAGCGAGCAAAGGTATAGCTCCTGACTAGTTGGATTTGACTAAGGAAGCCAGAATAAGTTTGATATGGGACCAGATAGCCTTGGAAAGGTTTTGCCACCAGTTAAATTTCTCTTAGGAAGCCAGGTTCTGATTGCTAGAGGGCCAGGGAAAGGTTGATATTAAACTAGAGAAGAAGGGAATGGGTTTGTGGCTAGTGTGATTTCACTTAGAAAGTTTGGTTAGGTAGGTTGACATGGAGCCAGGGTGCCAAGGAAAGGCCCCTGGTTGGTTGGCTTTGACTTAGGAAACCAGGGTTTGATTAAGTAGGTTGACGAGGAGTCAAGGAAAGGTCCTGGCTGGTTGGCTTTGATTTAGGAAGCCAGGGTTTGTTTAGTTGGTTGACGTGGAACCAGGAAGCCAAGGGAAGGTCCTGGCTGTTGGTTTCGATTTAGGAGGCCAGGGGTTTGGTTAGTTGGTTGACTTGGAACCAGGGAGCCAAGGAAAGGTCCCGGCTGGTTGGCTTTGACTTAGGAAGCCAGGGTTTGGTTAGTTAGGTTGACATGGAGCCAGGGAAGGTCCTAGCTGGTTGGCTGGATATGAGACCAGACGGCCATGAAAAGGGTCAGTAAGCAATGAATGGAACCAGAGAGCCAGGCCAAAGTTGCTAGCTTGTTGGATTTAATGCGAGAACCTGTTGGAAGGTTCGATGAGAGTTAGAATTGGCTTGAAGGACAGGGTCTGGTCGATATGGAACCAGAGAGCAAAGGAAAGGTTCTTTATCGGGGTATATTTGACTTGGAAGCCAGGATCAGATTGACATGGAATTAGAAAACAAGGTAGAAAATCCGTAGACGGTTCCCGGTTGGATTTGACTGTGGAATCTGGTTTCGGTCGGCTATTTATTAAAAAAAAAAGTGACCATACGTCTAAACTTCAACCCACCTCGCCCTTTTTGACCGTTTTCTTCTTGAACTTCCTCTTAAAACGCCTCGTCCCACCGCCCATTTTTTTCAGCCGGTCTTTACTATTACTAAAGAAACTATTGACGAACTACTGAGTAGCGAGTACTGTGTAATGTGTTTGACACGCGTGGTTGCAACCTTTCCAGTTTTCCAGCACTGCAAGAGTGGTGGCACGCTTTAGGTTTGGCCGACTCTCTACCGGCCTCTATAACTTAGGAATGATGACGACATTGTTGACCAATTGATGTCGCTCACAAGTTTGAAATATCCAAAAACATTTAATTTGGGCAGCAAAAGCAATTGGCCAGTTGGTTTTGACCAAAGGAACCAAGAAATAATGTTGTAGTATGTACGCTTACAATTTTACAAAATTGTCCATTTTTTAAAAATAAGGTTTTTTCTTTTCTTCTCTATACTAAAATGGGTTTGCTTAGTCTCGCTGTTTCATGCTTGTACTCCATCCAACGGGATTGCCTAAATTCCGGTGTATAGAGCCAGGGAGAATAACACTTTGACCTTGTTTTGTTTTTATAAGTCAATAATAAATAATACGATGGGTGCGTTCAGCCTCGTTTCTTTATTTGTTTTCTGACAAGATTCTTTCAATTCCGTTATAGGGAGGAAGAAAAAAACAAAATTCATGTAGAAATTTTGCACCTTGAGACAAATGAAGTTGAAATTTTTGCCATTTTCAACTCTTTTTCATGACCAAAAACCCTAAAAATAAAAATTTAAATAAAAAACCTGGACGAAATAGAACGAAAACAGAAGAATATTAAATTTTTATAGGAAGTCAATATGAAAACATAGGGGACCGCGGTAGCCGAGTGGTTAGCATGAGAGACTCTCACGCCGCGGTCGTGGGTTCGATTCCCACCGTTGCCCCTGGCCCTTTTTTCACAATAACCCCCCCAAATTTGAACACACATATACGAATTGTCACATGGTTAATATGCATAGTTCATAACGCCAAGAAAAAAAAAAAAAAATGAAAACATGATAGCGATTCGTATGTTGCATCTATCGAAAAATTAAGTGGATTTTCCGCCAGTTTTGCCTTTTTTTCGAGGCCCACAATCGCCAAATGGTAAATATATATTGAGTATATTAAAAATTATTTATTATATTTATATTTATATTATTACATTAAAAAAAGTCGGATTCTGATAGAAAATTAATAGGAAAAGAAAGTAACTGGTCTAATCTTGCATTAACCGAAAACCCTTGGGGAAATCTTGCCATTTTTTTCCCTTGCCCACAATACCAAAATCGTAAGTTAACTTAAAGGAAATAAAATTAACCACTTCTTAAAAGGAAAAATCAGATTTGGATAGAAAACAGACAAGAAAACAACCTACCAAATTAATTTCAAATTCCAAAAAAATCAATATATTTATGTTTATAAAGTCTGATTATGATAACACACCAATATGAAAACGAGCTAAAAGTGGGATATCTATCTAACCAAATACTATTGGAAATCTGGTCTTTTTTCAAACTTTCAATTTTTTAAAATAAAAAAGTTGAATTGAGATGGCCAAATAATAAGACAACAAGGTAACAAATACCAAGTCGAATGCGGCATCTCTCGAAAAATTATATAAATTTTTTTGCTGCCAACAACCTCCAAATTTAACAATCACTTAAATGAAATAGAATCCTAAACTTTTTATTCTAAAAAAGTGGGCTTTTGATCGAAAATCCAAAATGAAAACAAGTCAAATATTGCATTTACCGAAATACTTTTGGGAAATTTGGTCATTTTGGTCTTTTTCGTGATCCAAAATACCCGGATCGAAAGCTAAGATAGAGGAAATAAGACTGAAAAATTATTTCAATTGAAAAATCGGATTATGATAGCAAACTAATATGAAAAGAAAATAACAAATCGGGTGGTGCATCTAACGAACAACTATGTTGAAATTTGGTCATTTTCCGAATCCCTCAACAATAAAATCAACCACTAACTTAAAAAAAAAAAAGATATTGAAACGTTTTATATAAAAAAAAGACCGATTAGAAGGGAGGAAACAAAACTGACAAGCAACAAGAAAAACAAGATATCAAGTCGAATGTTGTATCTACCGAAAAACTATGCTGAATGTGGCCATTTCTGGTACCCACCAACTCCAAAATGTTTGTAATCTTTTGTGCCTACTACGCTCAAATCCTAAGTTTTTTTTGTGTAAGAATAATCCTATATGTTTATATATCCTATATGTATATCCTGTATGTTTCTTGATTTGAAATTTTCTCTCCCGGGTTGTTTTTTCGCTTTTCGGCCGGCGACCTGGGTATCGACCTCGTCGGGCATCCGCCGCGCGGTACCTCGCCCCCGGGGGCGGCGTTCCGGGCGTACCAAGGCGCCGCCGGCAGCCGGCCGAGGTCTCGGGGGTTGAAAAAGGCAGGGCCTCCGCCCCGGGTCCGGAGGCCGTTCGGGGGGCGGTCGACATGCGCCCTGGAGTCGTCGACACCCCACCCTTAGCCGAGGGGCCGACGATGCCGAAAGGATGCCAGGGGACCTACAGTCTGTGACTGGGGATATTAGAGAGACCGCGCGCCTGGAGAAAAATCGACCCGGAGGATCACAAAGGCGTTGGAGAGACTTGACCGAAGGGCGAAGGACGAAGGACGAAGGCCAAGGATCCAGGGAAGGCGGTAAGTACCGACAAGACACACCTTCACACTAAAATATACATAAAAAAAACCTTCAGCCCTCAATAATTTAAATAAATAAAAAAATCAAACAAACTAAAAAAACCTACAAATCAAACGAAAAGTACACAAAACTAAAACATCACAAAACAACCGAACAAGCGTTCAAACGATCCCACCTCGGTCAAATTCGGCACAGAACACCTTCAAACAATCGAATACTATAAAAAAGCCAAACAGACAATAAAGTATCAAAACAAGGAAGCAAATTCCTACTTTGCCCTGTACGATGTGCCTCGCCTTGGTCGATAATTTGCCTTCGGCCGTTCTCTTCCCTGCGGGAGGCGGTCAATTTTTTTTCTCTCGTCTTGTCTTTTAAGGCGTCCTATGTTTTTTTTTCGAAAAGCCGCGATGGGGCGAAAAGTAGGTCACGCACCCCCTAGAATCGAGGTTATGACACCCACCCCTCGAGCCACCACCGCCAAAAAAAATATTAAAAATTTGGCATCTAGCCCCCCCAATTCAACATTCCACCCAATATAAAATAACAACCAACAATTAATATTAACAATTTTTGTTCGTAAGGGTAAGGGTTCTTAGTTATTACCTACATTACACATTGCATTAAACAATTTTTTTCTCCAAATTTCTTTTGTTTATTTTATACCATCACGGGATTTCAGATGGGACTTGATTATTCCAGGTTGAAAAGTTGACGATCTTATGTTAGTTCAAGCAATAAAATTTGGGGGTTGTGGGTCAAGAAAAAAGATATTTTTGACAGATTCAATAATCGATTGTAAAACTTGTTTTTCTATGAGTTTCCTATCATAATGCAAATTTTTTCAATATAAAATATTCGACAATTTTATATTCTACAAACAATTCTACGTTTTAGGGGTTGTTGGCCACCAAAAATTGCCATATTTTCAAATGGTATTTCTGTAGATGCAATATCTAAATTTTTACCTTGTTTTCATATTGTTTTGCTTTTACAAGCCGACTTTTTAATTAAAAAATAATTTGTCAATCTTCTAATTTAGGACGTGAGCCAAAAAAAATATGACCAAATTCCCAATAGTATGGTGGTAAATGGAATATTCCACTTGCTACCTTGTTTTCATATTGAATTTTCATTAAAGCAAAACTTTTTATTATAACAGGTTTGAAGTTTTTTTTTATTAGGTAATTTTTCAATTTGGAGGTTGTTGGTAGCCTTAAAGAAAGCCAAAAAGACAAAATTTCACAGTCTTTCGGAAAAAGCAACATTCGGCTTGTGACCTTGTTTTCATAGTTTGTTTTCTCCCCAAAGTCCGTCTTTTTTTAAAGTAAAATGCTTCAAAATCTTATTATTTTATCTATTTATAATCTTATTCTTATTAAGTTATTGGATGATTTTGTAGTTGAAGGCAACTAAATGTCCAAAATTGGCTACATTTACACATAGTTGTTCGTTAGATGAACCATCCGATTTGTTAATTTCTTTTCATATTAGTTTAATCCGATTTTTCATTTCAAATAATTTTTCAGTCTTATTTCCTCTATCGTAACTTACGATCCGGGTATTTTGGATCACGAAAAAGACCAAAATGACCAAATTTCCCAAAAGTATTTCGGTAAAAGCAATATTTGACTTGTTTTCATATTGGATTTTCCATCAAAAGCCCACTTTTTTAGAATAAAAGGTTTAGGATTTTATTTCATTTAAGTAATCGTTCAATTTGGAGGTTGTTGGCAGCAAAAAAAATTTACATAATTTTTCGAGAGATGCAGCATTCGACTTGGTATTTGTTACCTTGTTTTCTTATTATTTGGCCATCTCAATTCGACTTTTTTATTTGCAAAAATTGAAAATTTGAAAATAGGCCAGATTTCCCAATAGTATTTTGGTTAGATGCAAGATCCCATTTTTCTGCTCGTTTTATATAGGTTTGCTAACATTATTCGTCTTTTTTATTATTAATAAGTGTACAACCTACTACTTTAGGTTAAGATTTGGGGGTCGCAGGCCAGGAAAAAGTGTCAATAATGGCCAAATTACTCAACAGTATATCGGTAGTGGAAATATTCACTTTGTTACCTTGCTTTCATATTTGATTTTCTATCAAAAGCCCACTTTTATAGTTAATAAAGTTGAAAATTTTATTTCCTTTAGGCAATTTTTAAAGTTGGGTTTATTTGAAGCCAAAAATGGCAAAAGTTCCACATAGTTTTTTGGTAGATGCAACATTGCTGATAGTTCACAAATAAATGAAGATTCATTAAGAGAGCTAACCTTCAAAAAGAAGTTCAAGTTTAGTGTCTGTTGTAAAACAAAAAACCTCGAATATTGATGGTTTCGATGAAAATATGTTATAGCATTTAGGATTTATTGAACAAGACCTTAAATTCTATGATCATTTTAAATTTCTAGTTTCAAAACTGAGCATACACTTATATTTATTAAGACGCTTAAAGTGTAACGTCTCAAACGAAGTGTTGCTCGTTGTATATTATTCTTGCTTCCAAACTCATATGACTTATGCATTAATGCTCTGGGGGCCACTCCAGTCATTCTAAGCTTGTCTTCAAACAGGAGCGAAAAGCCTTGCGA